AGTGTAAACAAAGCCATGCACGATAGAAAGAGCTGTCCTCACTTTGCATGACTCCACCTCCCCACCTCACTCTCATTTCGCTCCGCTTACACCTCTGCTTGCTCATTGCAACCCTCCTTGTGCAGTTGGAAAGGGTTGTCTTCCTTTCCCACTCTGGCCCTGGTGTCTTGTTGAATGCAATGTTGGAGAAACCTGTGGAGGGGAGCCAATGTGGCCTAGTGGCTGGGCTTCTGGAGAGTTGGGTTCAATTCCCTGGTTTGCTAGGTAATCTTGGGCAAATCCCTTCCTGACTTTTGCCTCAGTTTCCCCAATTGTAAAAGGAGGATAATGGTACTGACCTCCTTCATAAAGTGCATTGAGATCTACAGATATAAAGTGCTCTACAAGGCCTAGATATTATTATTAATTATTAATTATTATTATTATGTATACCAAGCACTCACCATTCCCTTCCAATCCCTTCTTGAAGGGTATTTTTTCCTGAAGCCTGCCAGCGAGGATCTGCTGCTAGCAGGCATGCTTGCAAGCGCCCACCTTTGAACCTTCACCCCATGTATCAGATCTGCCCAAGTTAGACTTTCGGGTGGGCATCACGTCCCTTCATATTTTATGCCTCTGTAAAACGCCCGAGACACTTACAATGCTCTCTACACAACAACATACAATAATAACAGCCGTATTAACAAAGAGCATAATGGCATTAGAAGACCTGGGTTGAAATCCCAGCCCCATGGAAGTCAATAGGAATTTTGCCAGTGGAGCAGGATTTCACCCCTGGGATCTAATCTTGGTTCAGATACTTACTTTCTGTGTGATGCTGGGTCAATCACTTAATCCCTCTGTGCCTCAGTTTCCCTGTCTGTCAAGCGGAGGTGTTAACTATCTCACATCAATGTTGGGAGACTAAATTCATTTATGTTTGCAAAGTGTTTTGAGATCCTCAGGCAGGAAGAATTAAGATGTTAATAAAAAATGGAGGTCATAGAATCATAGAATCATAGAATATCAGGGTTGGAAGGGACCTCAGGAGGTCATCTAGTCCAATCCCCTGCTCAAAGCAGGACCAATCCCCAATTAAATCATCCCAACCAGGGCTTTGTCAAGCCTGACCTTAAAAATATCTAAGGAAGGAGATTACACCACCTCCCTAGGTAATGCATTCCAGTGTTTCACCACCCTCCCAATGAAAAAGTTCTTCCTAATATCCAACCTAAACCTCCCCCACTGCAACTTGAGACCATTACTCCTTGTTCTGTCATCTGCTACCACTGAGAACAGTCTAGAGCCATCCTCTTTGGAACCCCCTTTCAGGTAGTTGAAAGCAGCTATCAAATCTCCCCTCACTCTTCTCTTCTGTAGACTAAACAATCCCAGTTCCCTCAGCCTCTCCTCATAAGTCATGTGTTCCGGTCCCCTAATCTTTTTTGTTGCCCTCCGCTGGACACTTTCCAATTTTTCCACATCCTTCTTGTAGTGTGGGGCCCAAAACTGGACACAGTACTCCAGATGAGGCCTCACCCATGTCGAATAGAGGGGAACGATCACGTCCCTCAATCTGCTGGCAATGCCCCTATGTATACATCCCAAAATGCCATTGGCCTTCTTGGCAACAAGGGCACACTGTCGACAGCTCCCTTACCAGAGTACCTGGTGCATTTAACCTTACACCGCGCTGGTGAGGGAGGGTAGCGCTGCTCTCTCTGTTTTACAGGTGGCAAACAGAGAGACTTTGCCTTGTCAAATGGGGAACCTGCAACCAAGCAGGGCAGTGAAACTGCATCTCAGGAGTCCTAGGCCAAACCACTGGACCATCCTTCCTCTCCACAGCAGTCACCAAAACACCCTCCTGATGAAGAACCACAAAAAAGCCCTGCTCTTTCCTCTCAAGAAATTTCGCCCCAGTAATTTAAGACTGAGATTTTCACAGGTGCCTAGAGCTGTGCCTTTAAATCTCCTACACAGCTCTGAAAATCTCCACCTTCATGGTGCAGATGGCATACACCTGCTGGCACCCTATGTGCAGCCAACCTGGGTTCCACGCAACCAATCGATCCAGAGCACCTGGTCTGAGAAACGGCAGACAGCAACTCTGCACAACTCCAGTTCACTTCACGTGGATTGGCAAACCCACAATAAGCCAGTCCAGTACGATGGACTTAGCAACCAAGTTTTCAGTGTGTTGCTTGAGAAAGCCCTTGATAAGTACTAGGCAATGATGCCTTGACAGGGACATTGCTGGAAGATGACTCCCACCATTGGCAATGCACAGGAGCCAGAGACCAAGAAATCTAATACGGTGCTGGACAGGCAAGCAGATCGGGTCAAATAAGTGGTGTGATTACTGAGCGGTGGGGTGGGAAAGGTATGGGAGAAACATGCAGGTTTATTTTCAAACACAAACTCCAGATCAGATACTTTTTATGCATCCACACTGAATGTTTTCAAAGCTACATCCAAATTATGTGATTTTTTTGCATTAGTTAATATAAATGATAATCTAATCCCCTTCCCTCTTGGCACCCGACTATAGGTAGAAACATGGCTGCCATTCATTTCAGGGGGGTCAGGTGACCTCATAAACCTGAATGAAGTCTTAAATCACTAGAACATTAAACTCAAATCAAACACACCCATTGGGGAGGAGCCATCTTTAACACTGGACTGGACTGGGCTGGTTGGTGAATTTGCAACCCTGCCCTCTGCTGGATGGAATCAGAATTTCTCAAGCGGCAGAGCAGGGCAAACTGCTTGCAGCAAATAATTAAGTTGACAAGTTTTGCTCTCCCACCCCCACTTATTTGCGAATTACCCACAAATAAACTTTGATTTTTTTCAAATGTGTTTGTTATCTGGACTGACAGTCACTTTATGTGAAAATATTTCTGCCCCATGGGCTGTTTGCGAGCTGTTAGCTTCATCTATGCCTTGGACATTTTTTATGGTGTACGATTAGTCTATTATGACCATTATTGTTATTAATTATTATCGTGTGGGAGTACCCCAGTCATGAAGCAGGACCCCTTTGTGCTAGGCGCTGTACAACTACAGAACAAAGAGACACTCTGTAAATTGCCTAGCTGCTTTTTGACAATCCCACCCTTAAACTGTGATTTTCAAAGGAGGCTCCCGCTCCCTTCAGTTCCTTTAAAAATCCCAGTCGTAATCCATCGATTGTAAAGAACTGGCTGGTGTGTTACATGCCACAGCTTTTTCTTGATTGGTATCAGCACTGCTCAGCTGTGTGTCATAAGCCCTGCTCTGCTAACAGCTACAGGAGATTCTCCTCTTAAATAGGGGGCTGTCCTGTGGGAGAAGGAGGAGATGAGTTCTCGCTGCTGTATGTATGCCATGTGAATGGCCCTGGTGTGCAGCAGAGAGGGGAAGGCAAAGAAACCTAGAGCGGGAGACATCCCCCCCCCACCTATACAAAGGGGGAGGTCATGCATTTCTCTCACAAAAGCTTAAGAGCAGTATGTGAAAGTGGGGAAGGGGAATGAAAGGGTTTAACCCTTCAGAGCACTAGCAACTTCCAAACTGCCAGACAAACAAAAGCTGAATGCTCAATGTGTTTTAAAGAGACAAGGCGGGGGAGGTAATATCTTTTATTGGCGAGATAAACAAACTTTTGAGCTTACACAGCGCTCACGCGCGAAAGCTGGTCTCTCTCCCCAACAGAAGTTGTTCCAATACAAGATTTGACCTCACCCGCCTTGTCTCTCTAATATCCTGGGACCAACATGGCTACCACAACACTGCACGCCACAGTGTGTTTTAAAGACAGACACAGCACTTAGACACAAAGGCGAAAAGTGCTTTACAAGTGTAGGTAAATACAGAGCTTCAGCCTCCAAAGGGTTAAACTTTAACATTGCTAGAAAGGGATTAAAGTCAGCCTGACACCTGGCAGCCACTGCTCTTTACTCACCTAAACCCAGTGTTTAAATCCATCCCAAGGCATAGGACTTTGGTGAATCCGGGCTGAGATCGCTTCTGGCCATCCAGGTTCTCTTTCAGGCTCTGAGGCTATGGGTACATGTAAAACACTACGCTGGCAGAGCTTTAACACTTCAGTGTAGACGCACTCCACAATGACGGGCGGGGTTCTCCCGTCAGCGTCGTTAATCCCCCTCCCTGAGAGGTAAGAGTTCTTCCATCAACCTATCACTGTCTACACAGGGATTGGCATAGCGATGTCTCGCAGGGGGGTGGATTTTTCACAGGCTGCAGTGATGTAGCTGTGCCAATGTAAGCTTCCATTGTAGACCAGCCCTGAGATTTGAAACAATCTTAGCACCTTTCCAATAAGAAATGTTTAAACACAAAGGGGGGTTGTTGCTAGAAAAGCACATCACACTGTTTCATTGGCTAGTGTAGACAGGGCCAGACGGTGTCATAAGTCTGATAACAGAAACATGTTTTCACCCACATACCTCTCTACCTCCCTACCTAGCCGTTGAGAGCTCAGCCCCACTCAGGAGGTGCTCAGTAGCTCTCAGGATCTGGATCTGAACAAAGGGCTTTCAAAGCTCCTCCCATAGGCCCCCCATGACTGCTCTGTGGTCCCCGTGCAAGCAGCATAATCGGGGAATCAATAAGCAAAAGCTGTGCTCTTCAAACCACAGCTGGTAATTGTCCTAAATAAGAATACCCTGGGGTGGCTCCCGAATTGCTTCATGCCAGGGAGTCTTCATACAAGAGCCATTGCCACATTCTGAAATACCCCGGCTTCCTGTTGTTTTTAATTACATCTCAGGCATCTGGTTTATTACATCTCAGGCATCTTGGCCTGCCATCCCCGACGACAAGGGTAAGTGCCATCAACCCAGATGCTTTGTCAGCTGCACGGACTTCACTTCTCATGCACCCAGCCCTCCTTTGCTCCTTACCCCAGCGACCTGAACCTGGGGGGGTTTAGGACCCAGCCCAGCTCCTGCTCCCTTTCAGGTCTCTTCAGGGTTATTACTTGGTGGGAGGTAGGGACCAGGGCTCAGTGGTGTGAATGGGAGGGTGACAGAAAATCTGGACTGAAAAGCTCCAACTGGAATAGCTCGCCTGTATCCAGGCAACAGGCCTGACGCAACCACCGACAAAAAAATCCCTTAAAACACACACACACACACACACACAGAAATTTCAGCAGCAAGACAGAGACTAGAGCCAGACAGAAACCTGATGGCACCACTGACTGAGCTTTGCAAACCCCAAGTTGCAAACCAGAGGCAGAAGGAGTGACAGAGCAAGACAGCATGTCTCTGGCATAGTAATTGTGACTCAGCCCCCGGTAAGTTCGATTCCTTTATTTGCTTCCTAACGTGGGCCGTAGTAAACCGTAGTGTCACCCAGACGATGGAGCGAAGCATCAATAAAAGAGGCACTAGCAGGAGGATTGATGAGACGGCCTCACGGGTCTTTTTTGTCCCTGGTAATATGGTCAAGGGTAAGACAGTGGTATCCGAGCCCGGGAACTGGGTGGAGGTCGAGTGGAGATCCCCTTGTTGGGAGCTGTCCATACTAACCCCAGCATAGTCCAGGAAAGGGCATTATCAGGTGTGCTCATGTGCTCCAGCGGGGCACCTTACTAGAGTGACCAGACAGCAAATGTGAAAAATCGGGACAGGGGGTTGGGGGTAGTAGGAGCCTATATAAGAAAAAGCCCCAAATATCGGTCACCCTACATCTTATGTCCCGGGAATGCACACTTTTTATGGCTTGCCAAAATCCATTCAGGGACTACACCCTGGGCAGTGCTGTTGATTTGAATGAGCTTGTGGCAGGGTTTGGATCTGAGCAGAATTTGGCCCAAAGTGGCTGCTGCATCCCCCATTTCCCCCCCCAAAAAAAACCCCATCAAGGACGTTCAGTTAGACTCCCAGTTAGCCTGTACAGGAACAGATTCCCTTCTCAGTTACATGGCTGTAAACGGGATGTGTGTGTGGGGGGGGGGGGAACTTGGCCAAAGTCAATAGAAAATCCCTAGACGGACACCGGTGGAACTGAGCAGAGTCTGGGCCATGTAAGGGAAAATCATCTGTGGCTCACAGCCCCGACCCTGTGCAAGTGAATGTTGGGGTGCTAGGTGTAGGCAGGATGGGCTGCCCTGGCGGATGGTGTTTTCAGGGTTATTGTCATTCCATCTTTGAGTCAGACACCGTGTTAGAGCCTCAGCTGGAGCAAATCAGCTCCACCAGAACTCTACTGATTTATGTCAGCTGAGGATATGGCCCAGACAGTCTGTTCTAACAGTGGGAAAAAATCCAGAACTCCTGCAAAGCCTTTTCCACGGGCTTTGGGTTTCTTGAATCATAGCACAGCAGAACACCGCCAGTCCACGCGCCGTATAATTGATACACACGTAAATTACTAAGGGGATCTCTAACTACTTCTCAGTAAAGATTCCAGAGCAGCAAGCACTCTTATTATTAAGACTTCCCTGCCCTTATGAAATATACAACAGTATATTTACTGTGATTACAACATTATTAACATGAATACAACTAGACTGCTCCTTTCCAGTAAATAAACCCTGGTCCACCTGGCGATGGGTTATCTTTGCTTTGTTTGCTCATGGAGTTGCTAATTTACAAAGTTCAGTGGAGCTCCCAGTTGTCAATAGAAGTTAGGGAGATTCTGCTGTAAGTACAGTCCAGTGATTTGTTTCTTTAAGTGCCATAGTTTTAAAATGTGGTGTTGGATGGTGTTCGAAGAGTTAACATTTCTCATCTCTCTGCGAAAGCAGGGCTGCCTGCTAATGCACATTTAAATATTACCTCTTGTCCTGTGGTCATTATAAACCCATTTCGTAGCTGCATTCTGCTCATAATCAACTCTCAGCCACCCGAGTTTTTCAAACATAGCAGAGAAACTGAGTCCAGAAAAGAGAAGCCTGACCCTGTGGTAGTTAGCAGACCTGCAAAAAGAAAAGGAGGACTTGTGGCACCTTAGAGACTAACCAATTTATTTGAGCATAAGCTTTCATGAGCTACTGCTCACTTCATCGGATGCATTCCAGACCTGGAATCTTTCCGGGGCGGTTAGCTGTCAATTCATCTTTAAACAATCGTGGATCGATTGACAATTTTGGTGAATGCCGGGTAAAGAAATGAATCGGCTGTGTGTTTATATGGATCACATGCGAAGGCACGGAACTGGATGAGACAGAGAGTCTGGAACAATAGCTATGGCAGACAATGGATACTGACCCCCCCTGTACCTGGTCTGTTTTAAAAGGAACTTGGAGCCCAATATTGCAAGCGGCGGGGAGCTGCCATGAGCTGCCTCCACTCCTGGAAACTTCAATGGATGTGCAGGGTGCTCAGCAGGTCACAGGATCAAGCCCTGAAAGGAGTAAAGAGCTTCTACAAGAAACCCCTCCCCAGGCTAAATTCCCTCCTGTATGTAAGGAGTTAACTCACTCCCCACAGCTCCCAGGGAGAGAAGTATTTTTCATTCATCCCAGAAGGAGACAGAACGCTTTACATTTACACAGGCCAACTTGCCAAAGGATCCCTAAGCACTTTGTTGCTTCTGTTCATACAGCCCAAGTGAAATGCAGCTGGTTCTGGAGTGAAGAGCAGCAGCCAGCGGAGAGGCAGGGAAGGGCACAAGCCCAGGTGCCCTCGGGACCTTTGGCACCAGGCTGTGTCTGACCTATGTGCAGCTGGGCACAAGGAGCCTGCCCTCACCCCATTTGTGTCCTCAGGCAAGGATCACCATTCTTGCCCTTTGTGGAGCAGGGGCTGCTCCCTCCTGGCACTGCCAGGGCACAAACCATCCTAAAGCGGGCAGGGTGGGGGGAGCAGTGTAGAGCAGGGCTCACGTCCACACTGCCCCTTTGCATTGAAGCACTCCAGGATGGATTCACAGCTTCCTCGATTTCAAAGCCAGAGGGGCCCATTGTGATCATCCTAGACGCACCTCTTAGAGGATTCCACTGGGTAATTCCTGCCCCAAATGCATTGCCTTGCTGGGGCATATCTCTGAGAACGCCATCCAATCCCCATGTAACGACCTCAGTGGGCCACGACCCTGGGCAAGCGGTTCCAATGGCTAATTACTCTCCCTTCTTTGGGGTGGTAGGGCGAGAGTCCTACCGGGAGTCCCCACTGATGGTGCAAGGCTGTGCCCAAGGCCACAACCGAGCCCTTGGGACCAGCATGTTCAAAAGAGCTCGGGGCCAGGCTTCCAAGTGCTCTGCGCTCACCCTGGGGCCCGATTTTCAGTAGAGCTCAGCTCCTATTTAGGCAGCTACACAAGGGCCGGATTCACAAAGTGCCTGGCATCCAGCAGTGCCTGTGTTTTCAGAAGGGATCTGCACGCAACGGGCTGGGCTCCCTGGGCTGTGTGGCTGCTTATTCTGTTGCCTGAGTGCTTCTGAAAATTCAGCCTTTAGGTCCAATCAGGGCAGTTACAGAACTCTGCTTCTCTTTCCCACAAGGGTACTGGTCAGACCCTGGCTGGGTTTGTGCATAACAGGAGGTGAGGACCAGTTGCAGTTGGCTGCGGATGGGCTCATACAGTAGGCAAAAAGCTGGAAACTGGGCTCCGAGGAAGAAGTCAAAATTAAACACTTTGGGAGAAATCCAGGTTCCATTGAAATCAATAGCAAAACTTCAGTGGGGCTAGGATTTCCCCTCCCCCCAACCCGCCCACAACTCGGGCTATGCACACCTGGGAAGTGTGGGGAATTATTTGAGGTTGACAAGGGGCAGGGGGGAATAGCGTCTTTGCTTGTGGGGACCCTGCCTACCTCTGTGTTTATACAGTTTATCCCTGATACTGACCACTGAGATTTGAAATTAGCCTGGAAAAAGTCCTATAAAATGTAGGGATCAAAACTTTCATTGATCCCCGCAGAGTGTGAGGCCAGGGGGAGCCACGGTTGCTCAGGATCAGGCCCAGCACTGATTCAGGAAGCTTGGGTGTACTGTATGCTCAGAGAGATGCTCGGGAAAATCCTAGTTTGTAATCTTTAGGGCCTCTCTGGGTGAACAGCCTTCCCCCGGAAGAAAGATGAGGAGACGCACAAGGAATTTACAAGGCAATGTTAGGTCGGTTGTACTGAATTCTCTCCGTCAGGGGTGACTGGGGGATGCAGTGCTGCTGGCTGGGTGTGTTTGACAGGGCTGGTCCCCTCCCTTTTCCCTGAATCCCTTTTTATCACAGTTTTGCTCTTTTTCTGAAGTCTGGTGAATTGGTTTCATTTCCCCTGCAAACCAGCGAGCGATCGGTCAGCCGGTCCCCACGTCTCCCCTCTCTGGATCTTCCTGATCATTATTTGAGAGAAGCAACAAAGGAAAGGGCCAGGACGCATCACCTAATTACAGGTACCAGGAGGTGAAAAAAGCTCAGTTCTTCCTACTCACCTCGCAGAGTCTGGGAACCAGACTGAGGGCCTGATCCAAAACCTGTTGAAATCAGTGGGAGTCTTTCCATTGACTTCATTTGCTTGCGACTGGAATGTAAAGGATGCAATTCAATGTGAGCCTAGGGTGGGAATGTTCTCCCTCAGCTGCCAGGGCTACCATAGGAAAGACAATATGTTTATGAGCTGGGAGGAGTCCAGAGCAACCCATACGCAGCCAATGGCTGGTGCTGGAACATGGGACTGCACGATCAGGTTTTATTACCATGAAGAAGGAACAATGGTGGGAACGCTGGTGATAACTCAGTGTTAACTATTTCACTGCTGTTCCAGTTAGCATCAGCAGCCAGCGGATGTGTTTATTTGTCATTGTATTAGTGGTGGCACTAGTGGTATTACAATCGTGCCTCCAGGTTCAAATCCAGGTTGGGACCCCATGGCGCTAGGCGCTGTACAAACACATCGTAAGAAACGGTCCTGAGCTGAAGAGCTGACAGACTAAACAGACAAAGGGCGAGAGGCAAGAAGGATGATCACAGACTTTTGGGGAAACAGCCAGACTTCAAAATCATGATATTTGGGGTTCAGAAAAGTTATTTTATCTCAGATGTGAGGCCTTGTATACCTCCCTCTCTGCCCTGTGCAGTTGCACTCATGGGGGAGCTATGCCTGTCTGTACCTGCAGCACTGATGCCCTCTGGGCACTAAGCCAGTACAGGTTCAAGAACTGGTCCCAGTAAAAAACGTAAAATTCTCTAAAACGGTCCCAAAGTGTTTTTTCTTGAACGTATTTGTTCCGTAACGAAACGGGTTCAGAATCAGCCAGTCTGCGTTAGCGTGTGTCTGTAGCCTTGTCTACACTGGCAGTGGTGTGTAGGGTAGGTGTAGCTACACGCCGCAGTGAAAAGCAGGCCGAGTCC